ACTGGCCAAGTTCACAGATGACACCAAGTTATGGGGAAACATGGTCACGCTTAAAGACAGGCTACAGATACAGGTGTATCTAGCAAGTTGGGTGAGTCAGAACGAGATGAAATTCAACTTTGAGAAATGTAAAGTGCTCCACCTGGTGAAGAACAATCCCCTGCACACCTACAGGTTTGGTAACACCAACCTGACCATCAATATGAATGAAAGAGACCTGGGGGTAATAACAGACCACAGCATGAATATGAGCCGGCAATGCAACTCTGTTGCTAGCAGGGCAAATAGTACTCTGGTATGCAATCAATGCATCTCCAGCAAGACCAAGGTGATTCTTTTGTTCTACTCGGCACTGGTGAGACCCCAACTGGAGTAATGCATCCAGCTCTGGGTGCCACACTTTAACGTGGATCTGGTACAACTTCAGAGTCCAGAGAACGGTCACCTGTATGATTAGAAGCTTGGATGGCAAGCCATATGAGGAAAGGCTGAGGGACCTGGGACTCTTCAGTATGAAAAAGAGAAGGCTGAGAGGGAACTTGGTATCAGTTTACTGCTATGTCAGGGGAGTACATTAGGGGCTCAGTGAACAACTTTTCACCAGGGTGCCCTTGGGGAGAACCAGGAGTAATGGTCATAAACTCCTGGAAGACCGCTTCAGGCTCAACATTAGGAAAAACTTCTTCACAGTCAAGGTGTCCAAACTGTGGAATAAGCTCCATCGAGAGGTGGTGCAATCTCCTACCCTGGAAATCTTCAAGAGAAGACTGGATAGTCATCTTGCTGGGGTCAGGTGACCCCACTTGTCTTTCCTGCCTGGTGCAGGGGGCTGGACCCAATGATCTTCCAAGGTCCCTTCCAGTCCCATATGAATCTATGAAAAGGAATGCTAGTGCCAGATATAAAAATGTTTTTGTTAGATCGAGAGGTGGTGCAATCTCCTACCCTGGAAATCTTCAAGAGAAGACTGGATAGTCATCTTGCTGGGGTCAGGTGACCCCACTTGTCTTTCCTGCCTGGTGCAGGGGGCTGGACCCAATGATCTTCCAAGGTCCCTTCCAGTCCCATATGAATCTATGAAAAGGAATGCTAGTGCCAGATATAAAAATGTTTTTGTTAGATCCCAACTCCATGCGGCGCCCAGCAACTAGGGAGACGACGATCCAATTGCTCATGGATCCTGTTACTCATTAGCCAGAGCAAGCAGGGAGCAAACACCAGCATACATTGCTCACAACAGCTTTATTCAGAATGGAGACAGCTTTGGGCCAGGTCCCTCAGACACACAGCCTGTGAACCAGGGGACCTGCCCTGAACATTAGTTTTTTCACATTTTATACACCTTGGTCCATGCTCATTAACATTTACTCCACCTTCACCCCTCCTTTGGTTCCACCCATATCTCCTCCTATCTCTAGCTCCACCTCTGTTTACTGTTTACTTCATTAGCATGGGATTGCTTATGCATTTCATTTATTTACATGCCTTTTTGCTATGGGCGCATGCTTAAGACTTTGACCTCCACTTCCTTCGGTCACTCGCTGGTTCTTTCTGGTTTCTTGCTGACTCCTTCTTCATCTCCAAGGCCTTGCTTCTGCTTTATCTTCTGATGATAGCTGGTGAGCTGCACCTTGTTCTTCTTACACAATAGGCTCCATACTTTACAACACTACGACCTTGTTAGAAAACTGCTTGCCTACGTGTTTGCAATGTTACTTTTAATACATCATTCTGCCTTGTGGTCAGCAGCTCTGCTGAGACGTAGAAAAAAGCCCTGTATTCAGCTGCAAATCCAGTGCTCCCCAAGATCCAAATATTGTCACCCTAACAGCTTTCAAGATAGTAATGTGGGGGAAAAGATGTTTCTAAGGGAGATGGGGATTTTGGATTTGGATGTGGAAGGGGTTGCAGAGAACTGGTCAGACAGAAAACATTGCTACTCAGAGAAGCAAGTAGCACAATTTTAGCAGGCCTGCAGGGCTCTCTGGGGATGCCCACACCATGGTAGCAGTGTGCCCTAGCAAGGATGTCTCTGAACACATTCCACTCACCTGCTCTTGCTCACATAATCCAAACACAGAAATACACTGGTGAAACTGCTTGTGCTGTTCCCCATGGCTAGTTTCAAGCATTCTGGAGGCTGAGGTCTCAAGAAAGGTGGTGGGCAGATGCTCTCAAAAAGACCATACTAGCGTATTTGCAGGTTTGATGCATACAAGTGGGAATGGGTGGCCAGGGCGTGGGTGGCCAGGGCATGCTTTAAGAATATCCCTGCCAGGACACACTGACACCATGACTTCAGTCCTATGATTTGGGAACAGAGAGCCAGCCAAGCAAGGGTAACTCAACAATCTGACTACAGCAAGTTGCTCATACTGCTAGCTGGTGGCTACAGGGAATTTACTGTCTTCAGAGATAATTACATGCTTTAAACAACTTTGTCTCATAAGCCCTTGTGAGGCAGAGTTACCTGCCTGACAGATGGCACAAAGAAGTCTATGAGGATCTGTTCTGGGGATACACTTTCCCTGTCTCACCAATTAGCAGACCCTTGCCCTTGTCCTCTGCTCCCTCTTGTCAGAGAGCACTAGCAGAAAGGAGAGCATAACAATGCTTGACTTATATGCAAGGAATACAAGGAGGCTGAGTAGAAGGCTGCTTAACTTTTTCTCCCTTTATACACCCACATAGGAGATAGACCGTATGCAGCAAAAACTGCCCTTTCTGAGGTCACAGTGACCCTGAGCTGGAATTCCCAACACCCCTCACTACCATACAGTTGTAGCATGCACAAGCCTAGGTGCTATTCAAAGATAGTCAGCTTGCCCCAAGGTGGTTATAACCTAAGTGAAACAAGACCAAATGAGCAAACATATGTACCACAGTGAAGTGGGGGAGGAAGGACCAGGGTACTAGTAATGGGGACAAGTTTCTACATAGGCTCGCAGTACACATCACCTTTGGGGGCTGTAACTCAGTTAACAGTTTTTATCTAAATATACCAGTGGCTTTTGTCCTCTCCTAGGTGGTGCACTGCACTTAACACCTCCCTTGGCTATCATCGTTTAGCAACTACTTTAATTTGAGAGTCATTATTCAGATACTTTGACGTAAATTATCATTTCCATAATTTTAAGTCATTGTTTGTTGTTTCCACTCAGTGATCTCTCTCACACACTTTTAGGCCATAATGAGCTTTGCCTTCACAGATGACTTGTTTTCCTTTATCGTTTTCTAACAGCAATGATTTTTTGAAGCATCCTAAAGAAAATAAATACAATCAGAAAGAGGCCTTAGGAGCAAAGAATTTGTCTCCAGCTATTTGACTTCTCCCATGTTCAGGGAAATAGAACTAGATACAATCTTGTAAATGCATCAAAAAAACCTGACTACAATCAGTTTCCCCTTGCAAGTGAAATAACCCACAGGACCCTGAAAAGTCAGAAAGGGCTAACAGATCTTCTGGAATTGGATCACCAAATTCAAATCTCTTAACTCTACCAAATCTCTAACAGCCTCATCAGCCCTTCACAGCCGTTTCCCAGCACTTAGGAAATACACACAACCAAAAAATAATAGGTAAGATGCAGGCATTGCTGCTTGTATATTCCCTGGAACAGAGGTAGTTAGCCTGCAAGCATTCATGCTACAATGGCACAGGCAGCTGGGTTGTGGCATGCATCAAATAACATAAGCGGGGAATATAGTGACAGATATAGCAGGGCGCAGAAAGCAGACCAATAGAAGATACAGGAGAAGGGAACTGGAGTGGCATTTGGAGGATGCGAGGCTTACCTTGTGGCATGTCTGCCAAAACCACTGCCCGCCCACTGCCTTGGAATATCACAGCTGCGACAATACCCCACCCTTGTCCCTTGAGGCATTTTTTGTGGGTGTTACCTTTTCATATCACAAATGCTTTATAAAATTACACTAGTCATTATTTTGTTCCATTAAGTACCAGTTACATGGTAGTTGGGGAGTGGTCAATGAAATGCCTGCCCAATGCTATTAAATCATTCTTGTGATCTTGCTGTAAGAAGAGCTTATCAGAGTATAGTTCCTAGAGTTGGCTAATTTGTTAGATGCAATTTAAGTGTAGCTAAGCTGTTCACAGGCTTTAGAGGAGGGCTCATTTGTGTACTTAAACAAATTAAATATGAAGAACCTGTTTTTTCTATATTCATATAAAGAATATACAATATCATATAGTTCAGAAACTGCCCTACAAAATTATCCCTACAGATTTTCATTAGAATTTTTATTTTTTGATATGTTCTTTCTATCACAAAATCATAGAAAAGTATGGCTGGAAGGTAACTCACGATGTCACCTAATTCAACTCCCTGCTCAAGACTGGATCATACCCATTTAAACCAGCTCAAATAAGTGTTTGTTTAATTTGCTCTTAAAAGTATAAGTCCTTTTTGAGGCAGCTTATTTGTTAAATTCCTGTCTCAATATTAGTTATTAAAAAGTGTAATAAAATAGTTCAGATGTTATTCCTTCTCTAAAAATATTTAATATTATCAGAGATGGATAGTAGGGCTGTGTGAAGCTTCAGTCCCTGATTCGATTCAGTGGAGATTTGGCCCAATTCGGTGGCCAGATCTCTGAATCCAAATCGAATGAGAGGACCCTTGAATCTCTCCAAATTGAATTGAAACCCTCCGAATCGATTTGCGGATAGACGCAGCTTTAAATGTTTTTTCTACATACCTCTAGGTAGCAGGCAGCTTGTGAACACTGTGATGGTGGGGTGCATGGAGCATCCCACAGAAGCGCGGGGGGCTCCCCAGCGTGCTTGGCAGCAAACCCAGAAGTGGACCAGAAGTACTTCCGGTCAACTTCCGGGTCTGCTGAGGAGCACGCTGAGGGGCCCCCCGTGCCCCTCCGGCTCAGCAACTGGTGCCTCCTGGGTTGGGGGGGGGCACCCAGGGTCCCCCCGGTGGCCAATCTCTGATCTCGGATTCGGATTTGGCTGAATCAAATCAGGGACAGTGATCTGAATCAATTAATCGAATCACTGTCCCCGATACAGGCCAAAGCTGAATAGGGCCCACTTCGCACACCCCTAATGCACAGCATGTTTTGGTAACCCCAAGATCACAGATGCATCAAAAAGGATTTATGTGATCAAAAGCTCACAAAAGCGTATGCTATATATGTTATATATTTCTGGCTTAGTTAATCTGTAAGGTGTAAATCTACTCTGCCTTCTGTGTGACTTCAGACTAACTACCTCTTTCCATTGAATATTAAGTAATTTTGAGAATCAGTGTTTGTACTGACTGACCACTGCAGTGAAACTGAATAATTTTCAGCTTTGCATCTCAAATTGAAATATAAATTGAAGGAGCAAAAGTCCATTTTAATATAATGGAACAAATAAAACATAAATACTGATTCATCTAAGGCTACAGAACTACATTATCTTGTTATTTGAAACTGAGTATAATCCACGATTGCATCATGTGTATGTACAGACAAGGGGACAGAGTTCCTTCCTTCCTTTTTAAGGTTTTTAAGACTAGTTTAGATAAAAACTTGTCTAGGATAGTTCAGATAAGGATGATTCTAGTTTAAGCAAGCAGCTGGACTACGTGATCACCTGAGGTCCCTACCAGCCCTACTTTTCTGATTCTGATTGTGCCCGCCGCTGCTCCAAAAGGCGTTCCTGGTCTGCTTTTGCTTGGGTGGCTGACCGGGTCTGCCCCGGTCCTGCGGGCGGCCCCCAGAGGGTGCCCCGAGTGACGGTAGCAGACCCTCGAAACTCGCCAGCCACGGCCTTATCTGGACCCTCAGTGGTGGGGGTCCCCCTCGCCGCAGCCTCCAGTGCCGTCACGCCTTCGGCGGGCACTCACAGGGCTCCAACCTCCCCTACACCCCGGCCAACGCCACCTTCGGTCGTGGGTCTCTTCGAACCGACCCCGCCTTGTCTCTTCGAACCGACCCCGCCTTGTCTCTTCCCTTGTCCCCAACCAGCTTGACTTGATGTCTTAAGCTGGACTCCGGTCCGAGGACTACGAGACCTGAGGCCCTGTTGCCCCTGCGGGCTTCCTCCCCGGCTTCCCTGCCGGCTCTCTCTCCAGTTCTTTCACCGGTGTCCCAGCCGGTTCTCCCACTGGTTCCTTCACTGGCGTCCCAGCCGGCTCTTCCACCGGCTCCACAGCTGGATCCCTCCCCAACTCTCCTACCGACTCTCTCGTCGGCTCCGCAGCTGGCGTTCCCATAGATGCGGCTCTCGCTGCTTTCGCCGCTGCTGCAGCTTTCCCTGCCCGAGGCAGAGAAACCCCGTGCGTGCCCACTTATGACCTCGGGCTTCCCCGCGGGCTCCATGGTCTCCTGCAGTCTCCTTCCTGTGCTCCCGGCGCTGCACTTTATTCCCGCCGGGTGGCGTCTCTCGCTGACGTCACCCGCTCTCAGCTGGATGTGAGCATGGCTAACAAAATGCACGGGTGATTTCCCGGCGTGCACTCCTCTGCTGTCCTCGGCTCCTGCAAGGGGTAAGTAAGTGCTTCCTTTTTCTTTGGTTTTGGGCCGGGGTTTCCCTATAGCCCCGGTGTCCCTGGGACACTGATTCATAGTATTCTTCACTCCAGCCAGCCCAATATTTAGCTCCATTTAAACCTTGGGCAACTGTAAATTCACAAAATTCTGCCCAGGCAAACCCATTCACGTGACTAAGTGATTAGACGAAAGAGGACTTGCAGCCCATCCTTCCCTGTTTTAGCCCAGTAGCTTAGTGGTCAGAGCACTTGCCCAGGAGGCAGGTTTGAGGCCCACCCCTCACCCAGAGTGGGGTTTTAACCTGTAGCTAACTAATGAATAGTGTACTAACTACCATGCTGCAGCTTAAGCACTAACCAGTCCCCTCTCCAGCTCCTCCTGAGGCTGGCCTTCCAGGCAATCAAGAAAGTGATGTGGGGCCAGGAGAAAGAATACAAGCTAGGGGATGCGTGGCTCAATAAGACAGCTACTGCCCTGGAAGGGTGGAGACCCTGGATCTTTGCTCACAATGGAAACTTCCTCATTGCTGTCCATCCAATTTATCCAGTAGCTATTTAATGGATGGTGCAGTGGCTCAGGTTCAAGGACAGGACACATGATAATGCCTAACCTACAGCCTGGTGGTTAAAGATACCGTGGTGGAAGTTGGAGCTACAGATTGAAAACCTGCTGGGTGAAAGGGTCAAGAACCCAGGTCTCCTACTTCATTGGCAAGTGCCTTAACCAGCAGGCTGTTGGGATATATCTCCTCTAGGTTTTTACCAGGCCACAATTTTAGTGCTTACATTGAGTGCAAGAGTATGGAGCTGTGTACCTCCCCAGGCAGAGGGCTGCCTAGTCAGCAGCTGTATGTATGTGTAAGAACACAGAGTAAGATCAAATGTGTTTACATGCCAAAAATGACAGTTACATGGTTGGGTAAGTGACACCTAAGCATATAAAGTGAAACAGGATTCTGCCCAAGGTATTTAATGATATCGCATGAAAGTGTGTGGGTGTGTGAGAGAGAAATATTTTAAGTTGGACAAACCTGATTCAGGTCTTCGTCATTTCTCCTTAAATGTTTAGTTCTATTCTTCTCATATGCAGCATTGTTTTCCATTCAGTGAAGTGGAATTGCTTGAGAACATGTGCACTGGCTTCTACTTCCCAGGCAAGGATCAATTGCAAATCCTTTCTCTAGGCTCAAATAACTCTCAGGTACTTTCTGCTTTGCCTGGAAGCAGTTATAAGTGTCACCTGATGCGCCAAAATTTTGTTTAGCAGCAGGCTGGCAGGATGGGCAGCAGTAGAGGTGAGGAACAGAATACTTGGGTAGAGTTTGTTTTCCCTCACCATCCTCAGCAGGTGTTGAAGCATGTAAGCCATTTACGCAACTTTGCTGCATGGTGGCAGCATCCATATCACTTCTGATATTTGTCTTTTCATCAGTTTCAGTTTTCCTACCTTTGTTTAAGAGCTCTTCTTTCATAGTCTTTGCTGGAACTCCATTCTCAAAGTAAGACTGTGTACTTGTGAAGTGTTTTCTTGCGTCTTCATGCTTATGTACATTTTCAAAAGACAAATGAGTTGAGAAAATAACTTGGTGACTACAGTGAGACGTTCTATATGCATCATCTGCTTTTTTACTCTGGCTACTCATCCTTGTTTGTTCAGGTTTACAGGTGCCTCTAATAGTACCAGGACTGGTTTTGACTATGTTTTTAACTGACTGGGAAATATCTCCATTAGGGAAGAGGCCATCTTGTGGCATATTTCCACATCTACAAGACAAGAGTTTCTTCATGACTGAGTCTCTAGAAGGCACAAGGTTGGCTTCAGAATCCAGATTCTCCAAAGGCATATCAGTATTATTGGCCTTTAATTTAGTTTCTCCACCAGAGGAGAAGGCTATGTTTTCGATATTCCTTGTATGAGGCAAGGTCATGGTACTTGGTTTATCTTCAGGATGTAATGTTCCAGCTGCAGGACTCCGACTCTCTTTTTCACTCTGGTGGCATGGGGGTATCACCCCCCCCCCCTTTGGTGGAAGAAGAGGGGTTGTAAATGGGGGTATCACACCCCCCCCCTTTGGTGGAAGAAGAGGGGTTGTTGGGCTCCTGCTCTCACGTAGGAGAGGTGGAGGGATCAAGAGACCCTCCTGTTTTGTGTCTGCATCCTCTGCAGCGGGAGGTATCTTTGCTTTAGATGGCATCTCACATTTTTTCTGACCTCCAGGCCACCCAAAACAAAAGTTCAGAATACTTTGCATCTTCAAATCTCTTTTTCTTTTTGTTGAAGAGGTATAGCGGGACTCGTCACCACTGTATCTATCACTTAATAAAGAGTGTGTAGAAAACCTGGGTGTTACTGCACTTCCTCTTCTGAATGGTTTTCTATTACTGCTTAGGAATTTTTCAATACCAGAATTTCTCCACTTCGAATGCACTACGACATTCAAATCACAGAACTGACTGCAATGACATGCAAAAGCCTCTGTTAAGGGCACATACCCTGCTGCTGTTTTTTTCTTAGTTTTGTAGTTACAGAGATCTGGCTTTAAAGGACGAACACTGAAAGACCTTTCTTTGGACGTGACTGGCACAACAGGATGTACTATGGGACTGGAAATCTTTAACTGAGGCTTCTGTTCTTCAGATGAATGAGAAGGCTGAACTGTACACTGTGTATCCTTAGGGGTCAAAGAAAATTGGTTTGCATGCACAGATTTAACTATGGTAAACACATGATCTATCTGGAGCCTAGGAAAGTCAAAATTAGATGATTTTGTCTGTGTTTTCAGGTGTTGCTGGGTTTTAGGAATTGGGATTTGTTCCCATTCTACCTGTCCAGTAACTGGTGTGAGCTGCTTATGTAACCCCTCAGGTTTTGGCAATATAGAAATATGTAACTTGTTAAAATATTGGTTAAGATCAGGTTCTTTAAGTTTGAAAGTGAAATGTGAAAGTCCTCTGCCTATCCTAATTTTTGGAGAAGTTGTCTCAGCTGCTCCTAATGAAATAGATGGAGTTGAATAATCTGTTTCCAATGTTAGAGATATAACAAGTGAAGATGAATCAGTGTGTGAACAAATATGTTCACTTATTTGTGGTCTTTCAGGTTTTGCTTTCAAAGGATAATCTAAACATATATTTGCTTGTTCACCAGATAGCGTATTCTGCTTGGAAATATTTCCATGAAATACAGCAGTTTTCTTCTCATTTGATTTTCTAGTCACGTGTTCATGCAGTGTTGACTGCTTTGGACACTCACAAGCAATAGTCTCACGAGAACACCCTCCTCTAGAAATAAAAGAAGTTTGTACAGTTTTGTTAGGCCTTGAGGTTGGAGGACAACCAACAGGCAGTTTCTTTTGACTTAATCTATTAGCAATGTAAGGTTTCTCAATTGTGAAAACAGCAGGCACCTGTGATAGCTGCTCAATACTGAGTAGCTGTGGGGATGCACTTTGGGAAGATAAACGCTTTCTAGAAGATAAGGCAAACCTTGACTGATGAACTCTGGCTGCACAACTTGCAGCCAAATGGTCAACTGTCTGATTTTTATTAAGATAAGATGGAACCTTTTCTTTTTGGCTGCTCCTAGAGTTTTGTGCTTTTGTTCCTTGTAGCAGAAAAAGGTCTTTCCAATTCTTATTTCTATTGGCTGGGCTATTTTCTGGGGCCAATAAAGCATCAGTCAAGTCATTAGCTCCTTTCTTTCTTTCCCTTCCTTCTTGTAGAGACTGGTACTGCTCCTCTATATCAATGTAAAGTTGAAGATTGTTTTTACTGTCCTGGTCAACAAAATCTAGAGCAGAAACATCAAATTATTTTCAGTTAAAATTGACTCTTTAGAATACAAAAATGAGAAGGTTTTAGTAAGGAATCACCTGAAGTTATTCACAACATTTATAATAGCATACAATGCCATTAATTAAGTACCAGCAACAAATTCATTATAGAGAAACATATAATTCACTATTTAGTCTTCAAAACAAAACACTCTTGAAAGCTTAGAACAGATTTTGGAGTCTGACCTTCCTTTACCTTTGCAGCTACAGTGACTATTTAAAAACCCTGATTCCCAAATACAAACATCAGATCGCTTTTCATGCCACACCCTGATGAGTTGTCATTGGACATAGCACCTGAAAAATAATAGAAGAAACTTGGAAAAATGCTTTGCAAAAGATAGATGGCATTGGAGAGAAAAAAATTCCAAATTCAGCATTGTTGGAATTTCAAAATGTGTTATTTTTATCCATTTAATTTATAGATTGCTTATATTTTTCAAGACTGAAAAGAAATAGAAAGATGGACCTACCATAGTACTGCCTTCATGCTTTAAAGAAGTTGGGGCCAATCTTTTTGGCAGGCATGCCAAAAGGTAAGCCCTACACATCCTCCCCAAGTGACATTCAGATCTCCTTTCCCTGCTTTCTGTCCCCTGCCTTACCTGCTGCTGTTTCCTTCCTGATCTGCCATGTGCCATGCACAGAAGCTATCTGTGCATGTCCTCTGCAAGCTGGCCACCCCTGTTTTATACCATATTTAATGGGCAGTTACTTAGATCACTGGCCGTTTTTCATAGTTATTCAGATTTCTACTGAGATGCCCCAGTCACTGACCAGTACCTCACCCTGCTGCACAAACATAGAAGTCTCTTTTGCTGGTGAAGAGAACAACTGACATTACCACAATTATACGGCAGCAGCACACAAAATGCAGAAATCTCTGAATCACAATAGATGAGAGAGAATCAGAAAATAAAAAAAGAGCTTCACACAAAGGATTCTAAAAATACAGTGTAACTACAGATTTTCATGGAGATGCGAGACCTAAAAGACCTGCTAATTCAGTTCTTATCCTATCTATGTAAGCATATTCATATTTCAAGACAGTCGAAAAAATCATGTTCAGCTAAGATGAATCTAAATCCACACACAACTGTTTAATATCATTGTTGTCAAGTAGACAGCATCCTCCACAGCACCACAAATTTTGAAATACCGGCACTTAAAATCTTAGGACGCGGCAACCTATTTTCTGTAGCTACTGACCATTTCTGCCAAATGTTTTTGTTAATTTTAACAAGTTTTTCGCTGTGGTAACTAAGGGGATTGAAATTCATTAGCTCTTGAAAACAGAAAAAAAAATGGTGCTCATTATCTTTTATGAAAAGGAGTTTTACAGAGCTCCAATATGGAAACTTTCCAAAAAATGTCTCTTGGATGTAAGATTTGTTTCCCTTTGCCAGTGGCAGCAACACTGGAAATCCTAGTGCTGACACATCAATGACAGCATTTTAACACCATTGCACATAATCCTGCTCAGTGCAGATCTAGTTGACAGTGTGTAAAAATGCTAATGCCCCATCTATATTTAAGCCCCAAACAGTGTTACCACCAGCAGTAACGTAACTGGGGTGGGGACACAGGGCAAGCATGACACTAGTCCCAAGGATGCCAGCAGCATGCTGTTGTGCTCTGCTACCAGGCTTCCACCTCATCCTCATGCTTGGTATCTCCCCACTTTCATTGTTCTCTGGCACCCCTGCCCAGGGCACTGAAACTGCTAGTTATGCCTCTACCACTGAGTTAAACTGATGATGGCAATGGCATAAAAGCAACAGCAAATGGGTGGAGGAGTAAGTGACAAATCACTGCAACCTCTTCGGTCCAACTATAATCAGGAAGCATTTATATGACTCCTGCTTGGGGACTGCAAGGCACTTCCACTGCTCAGGGGGAGCAGTAGCTTGCACTACTGTCCTACAAGGAAGTATAAACAGGCCATATTCAGCACAGGTGACTGCGGGCTCCAGAGGGAGGCTCGTGCCATGACTTTGGACTCCCAATGCATATTAGCCTAATGATTCTAACTGCTACTACAACCCCCACCCCCGAGTCAACTGGTATTAACCCAGCTCCTGTGGACTGCCATAAGCAGGCATCACCACCCTTCCATCCCATCCCGAGAATGAGGTTGCCCCTATATACTTGCCTTTCCATTACGCCCTCACCCACCCCCGCCTCTTCTGTGGGAGACGAGATGTCAAGCAGGGTCCCCACACCCTGCCAGCCCCGCAGGAACTGCCCTGCGTCCTTCCCCAGGCAGAGCTACCCCGTGAGGCTACTCTCCCCGCTTACCGGCTGACTACCCTGCTCGCAGCCGCTCCTCACCCCGTGCTCACCTCTTCCGGGACCTTTGAATTAACTCACTTGACGTAAGGCTGCCTCACAATGCCGCGGAGTGACGTCACACAGCTGTGACGAAGCTCCGGGCAACAACGCCATGCCCCAGCCGTTACTCCTCCCTGCCAGGAGTCCACAGGCGCCTCCCCTGCGTCCCGCCCGTTCCCTCCTGCCCCCGCTCCCGGCCAGGCGCACACCGCCCTGCCCCATCGCCACGAGAGAGCCGGCTCTTCTGCCTGTCGGGCCGCCGCGCTTGGGGCCAGTTACCCTCCCCGCAACCCCACCCCTATCCCCTGCAGAGCTGAGCCGAGCCGGTAGCTGAGTCCGCTCCTAAGCGAGGCCAGTGAAACCATGCCGGGGCTGGGGCTGAGGCCAGGGCTTGCTGCACCTGTCACCAGCCTGAGCTGCACGCGTGGGGCGCAGCGGAAGCGCTGGCGGCTCTCCTCTCCCGCACTAAGCCCCGGGGCTAGCAGCACTGCAAAGCCGGGAATGTTTGGAGACCGCGTTACGTCACTCTAGTCTGATAGGCCAGCGCTCCTGCCAGTCAGAAGAGAAGGCTGTGCGGCTGCACTGTCACGGGAGCGGATTAGGCTGCCTTCTGGTTCAGGCCGGAGGGAAGGGGAGCGTGTCGCCGTCCCTAGCAGCCCCCGCTTGGTCCCTGACGGCGTAGCGAAGCCAGGTACTGCCCCGGCGGGCGCATCCAGCTAGGCGGGCCGGGTCGGGCCGGCCCCCGGCCAAGGCGGGTGACAGACTTGGAGGGGAAAGATGGGTCCGGGGCCTGGGCTGTCCGGGCTCCGCTCCTGGGGAGGGGGACTTCCTGCCAGCGCAGTTAGGGAGCTCGGGCGCATAGCGGGGGTAGCAGACCACGCACGTAGGCCCGACAGCCCAGCCCCTGGCTTGTTTACTTTTCATTCCATCCAGGAAGAGCACACACCAACTGCTGCAGCTTCCTTAGCCTGACGAAGGGTTTTTGAACCTGAAAGCTTGCTTAATAACTATTCTCCAGCCATTTGGGTTGGTCTAATAAAAGATATCAAATTCACCCAAGGAACCTTGTCTGCCTATAACCTTGGCTGCAGGCACAGTCGGGCCTTGACACGTGCAAAGAAAGGCAGGGGCGCTTGCGAGTCTGTCTGGGCCTCTGTGTCCTGTGCGTCGTGCCTGTCGCTCCCGCCCCCGGATGCTCCAGCTCACACAGGCAGACGGGTGGCTCTGGCTCCTTTGCCACTTAACTGCAGAATTCGTGTGTGAGGCGCCTCCCAGAGTATCATTGCATAGGCCGGCCGTGCTGCCTTGCTGCCTGCCGCCCTCTCCTGAAGACTTGAGAATGTATTAGCGGACATGCCTCCCTGGGAGGCCTCCCACCACTGGGGTGCTAACATGACTTGGGGCATCAGTTTAGCAAGCTGTTACCCCAAGCAGCTCTAGCTTTTCTGCACGCATTCAGGCTTCAGAACTGGTTGTCTGGGTGCATGCCAGGAACTCCCCTTTGCTCTTTTGTTTGCTAGGAACAAGCTGTGCTGACAGCCCAGCAGTTCTGACTGGAGGATTATCTTTACAAACCAGTGGCAACCCAGTACTTTTGTTGTCACCAGCTTGCAGTCAGGTTAGGAACAATGGAGCTGTGCATTTAGAAACCCTGTCATAACCCTACTCAGGGTTATTACAAACAAGGAAATGATCTGTTGCACAGATCCCAGCATTGTAGGGTAGTAGGGCTGCAAGGGACCACGTGAAGCCATCTAGCCCAGCCCCTGCTCAAGGCAGGATCATCCTTGACTAAACCATCCAAGTGAAGTGTCTGTTCAACTTGGTCTTGTGGATTTCCTAGGATGGAGATTCCACACCTTCTCTAGGTAGCCTGTTTCAGTGCTAAAGTTCCTCCTAATCTTCAATCTACGTTTCCTCTACTGCAATTTGAGGCCATTCCTCCTTGTCCTATACCCTATAGCCATAAAACCTCCCTTCAGGTATTTGAAGACTGTTATTACATCTCCCTACAGTCTTCTCTTTTCCAGCCTAAATAATCCTTGTTCTTTCAGCCTTTCCTAATAAATCACGTTTCCCAGGCCTCTAATCATTTTTGCCACTCTCCACTGGACTCTTTCTAATCAGTCTACATCTTTTTTTGAAGCTTTGGGCCCAAGATTGGTCACAGTACTCCAAGCGAGGCTTCACCAGTTGTGAATAGAGAAAAAGAATAATTTCCCTTGATTTGAAAGCAGTGTTTTGGTTAATACAACCCAGTATGCTGCTGGCTTTTTTGAGAGGAGTCCAGTTGGTTCCTGACCTCTTTGCAGAGACTGTTTTTTTATAGGAAATGAAAACCTTAGTGTAGGCAGTTCTCGACCTACAACCTTTCAAGTTACAACATTTCACACTTACAATGTTTATAAATTGACACCCTGTTTCAACTTTATGATGTCAGTTTTGACTTAACAATACTTGATCCGATGTGACGCTATGCCAGTCAACAAGTTTGCTGTGTTGCCTACCTCCCTGGAGAACATCTGTCCAAACTTCCTTGGATACTTCCTTTAAGAAAGCAGACAAGACTCCAGAAAACCCTGCAGCCAAGACTCCTGAGAAGACTCCAGCCAAGAACCCTTCAAAAAGTCCAACCAAGAGCCTTTCAAAAAGTCCAGCAAAGTCGCCTCAAAGAAGTCCTTCCAAATCGATATGATTGCTATTGACAATATAAATACATTAATGTAGCTATATTACTCATCTATAATTGACGTAGTACAAAATTCTGCGGTATTTTTAGTAAAAATAGGGTATCGGGCTTTGGTTCAGGAACCAATCCCCCATTTATAACCTTGTTTCTTATGAGAAACTTGGTTCCAAGTTACAACGTTTCGACTTAAGACACAGTTTTCAGGAACCAATTGTGTCATAAGTCCAAGGACTGCCTGTATATGTGTTTTGCTACTTCCTTATTATCCTCTTTAAAAAAAAAAACCCCCAAACTCCTCCTCTCCCTCAAATACATTTCTCTCTTCATAGATGCTACTATTTGTATTTTGATGGGCTATATTGGAGAAATGTAGGTGTAGTTAAGTCTGCATAGTATTGTTACAGCGCTTAATTGGATACCATTTTTTGGCACTGTTGTTAGCAGATTTGCCTGTCACTTTAGGATGTGCTCATTGATTAGAGTTATGTTTCTGGGTTCTCTGTAATTCTATCAATATACTGCTTGTGTCACTTGTATTTCTATACTGAGCTCTCTCTCTCCCTTGTACAAGTCCCCACCCTGCAGGGCTTAGTTTCAACAGAGCTGGGGTTCCTTTAGCCACAGAATCAGGTAAACACACACACATGCACACAGATTAACAGAGTACGTCTGAGCAGGCAGGGTAAATCAGCACTTCTAAACTGACACCCTCATATGCCACAGACTCAGCACAGGACTCAGTTCAGCAG